AGACAGAAATTACATCCTTGTCTTATCACTCTTAACACAGACAGAAATTACATCCTTGTCTTATCACTCTTAACACAGACAGAAATTACATCCTTGTCTTATCACTCTTAACACAGACAGAAATTACGTCCTTGTCTTCACTCTTAACACAGACAGAAATTTCATCCTTGTCTTATCACTCTTAACACAGACAGAAATTACGTCCTTGTCTTATCACTCTTAACACAGACAGAAATTACGTCCTTGACAGAAATTACATCCTTGTCTTATCACTCTTAACACAGACAGAAATTACGTCCTTGTCTTATCACTCTTAACACAGAAATTAGAAATTTAACACAGACAGAAATTACGTCCTTGTCTTATCACTCTTAACACAGACAGAAATTACGTCCTTGTCTTATCACTCTTAACACAGACAGAAATTACATCCTTGTCTTCACTCTTAACACAGACAGAAATTACATCCTTGTCTTATCACTCTTAACACAGACAGAAATTACAACACAGACAGAAATCCTTGTCTTATCACTCTTAACACAGACAGAAATTACGTCCTTGTCTTATCACTCTTAACACAGACAGAAATTACGTCCTTGTCTTATCACTCTTAACACAGACAGAAATTACGTCCTTGTCTTCACTCTTAACACAGACAGAAATTACGTCCTTGTCTTATCACTCTTAACACAGACAGAAATTACATCCTTGTCTTATCACTCTTAACACAGACAGAAATTACATCCTTGTCTTATCACTCTTAACACAGACAGAAATTACATCCTTGTCTTATCACTCTTAACACAGACAGAAATTACATCCTTGTCTTATCACTCTTAACACAGACAGAAATTACGTCCTTGTCTTCACTCTTAACACAGACAGAAATTACATCCTTGTCTTATCACTCTTAACACAGACAGAAATTACGTCCTTGTCTTATCACTCTTAACACAGACAGAAATTACATCCTTATCTTATCACTCTTAACACAGACAGAAATTACATCCTTGTCTTATCACTCTTAACACAGACAGAAATTACGTCCTTGTCTTATCACTCTTAACACAGACAGAAATTACGTCCTTGTCTTATCACTCTTAACACAGACAGAAATTACGTCCTTGTCTTATCACTCTTAACACAGACAGAAATTACATCCTTGTCTTCACTCTTAACACAGACAGAAATTACATCCTTGTCTTATCACTCTTAACACAGACAGAAATTACGTCCTTGTCTTCACTCTTAACACAGACAGAAATTACGTCCTTGTCTTATCACTCTTAACACAGACAGAAATTACGTCCTTGTCTTATCACTCTTAACACAGACAGAAATTACGTCCTTGTCTTCACTCTTAACACAGACAGAAATTACGTCCTTATCTTATCACTCTTAACACAGACAGAAATTACATCCTTGTCTTATCACTCTTAACACAGACAGAAATTACATCCTTGTCTTATCACTCTTAACACAGACAGAAATTACATCCTTGTCTTATCACTCTTAACACAGACAGAAATTACGTCCTTGTCTTCACTCTTAACACAGACAGAAATTTCATCCTTGTCTTATCACTCTTAACACAGACAGAAATTACGTCCTTGTCTTATCACTCTTAACACAGACAGAAATTACGTCCTTATCTTATCATTCTTAACACAGACAGAAATTACATCCTTGTCTTATCACTCTTAACACAGACAGAAATTACGTCCTTGTCTTATCACTCTTAACACAGACAGAAATTACGTCCTTGTCTTATCACTCTTAACACAGACAGAAATTACGTCCTTGTCTTATCACTCTTAACACAGACAGAAATTACATCCTTATTTTATCACTCTTAACACAGACAGAAATTACATCCTTGTCTTATCACTCTTAACACAGACAGAAATTACGTCCTTGTCTTCACTCTTAACACAGACAGAAATTACGTCCTTGTCTTATCACTCTTAACACAGACAGAAATTACGTCCTTGTCTTATCACTCTTAACACAGACAGAAATTACGTCCTTGTCTTCACTCTTAACACAGACAGAAATTACGTCCTTGTCTTCACTCTTAACACAGACAGAAATTTCATCCTTGTCTTATCACTCTTAACACAGACAGAAATTACGTCCTTGTCTTATCACTCTTAACACAGACAGAAATTACGTCCTTGTCTTATCACTCTTAACACAGACAGAAATTACATCCTTGTCTTATCACTCTTAACACAGACAGAAATTACGTCCTTGTCTTATCACTCTTAACACAGACAGAAATTACGTCCTTATCTTATCACTCTTAACACAGAAATTACGTCCTTGTCTTCACTCTTAACACAGACAGAAATTACGTCCTTGTCTTATCACTCTTAACACAGACAGAAATTACATCCTTGTCTTCACTCTTAACACAGACAGAAATTACATCCTTATCTTATCACTCTTAACACAGACAGAAATTACATCCTTGTCTTATCACTCTTAACACAGACAGTAATTACGTCCTTGTCTTATCACTCTTAACACAGACAGAAATTACGTCCTTGTCTTCACTCTTAACACAGACAGAAATTACGTCCTTGTCTTATCACTCTTAACACAGACAGAATCACTCTTAACACAGACAGAAATTACGTCATTGTCTTCACTCTTAACACAGACAGAAATTACATCCTTGTCTTATCACTCTTAACACAGACAGAAATTACGTCCTTATCTTATCATTCTTAACACAGACAGATATTACGTCCTTATCTTATCACTCTTAACACAGAAATTACGTCCTTGTCTTCACTCTTAACACAGACAGAAATTACATCCTTGTCTTATCACTCTTAACACAGACAGAAATTACATCCTTGTCTTATCACTCTTAACACAGACAGAAATTACGTCCTCGTCTTCACTCTTAACACAGACAGAAATTACGTCCTTGTCTTATCACTCTTAACACAGACAGAAATTACGTCCTTGTCTTATCACTCTTAACACAGACAGAAATTACGTCCTTGTCTTATCACTCTTAACACAGACAGAAATTACGTCCTTGTCTTCACTCTTAACACAGACAGAAATTACGTCCTTGTCTTATCACTCTTTGGGACCCATGGATTTATTTCAGGCAGTATCTTACCAATGGTAAGTTAATTAAATGTCAAAATAAGGATTTATATTCTGTTAGATACGACAGATATGATAATTTGGTTTATGAATGACTAGCTGTGTATATTTTTCTGTTTCAGCAGTAATCAAATTTGGAAATTTAAAGCTCAAGTTAGAACAGCAGTTCATTTTTTTTGCATTATCATTATCTTTTTGTTTCTGCATTATTCTCTAAATGATGCATTCAAATTCAATTACAAACCAGAAAATATGTTTCCTCAAGTCCCTCTGGTTACCTATAAAACGAAATCGATTTCATTAATTTACATTAATTTACAGCAATTGTACTCTGTATTTAAAAACACAGACAATAATAAAAAAACACACATCCGTAATATTACAGGAATTAAAATTATTTATCACAGTTAGATGACGTATTTGAATTTAGCGCCCTCTGTACAATGGGTTCGTTATTGTCTCCGATGCCCCTTCTGGGACCCCACAGGTGAAAAACGGAAGTTTATGTGCCATACCGGAATCAGCAGCGACAAATTATAGGCTACCGGAACACACCCAAAATGACCTATCCAAAACGATTGACATCGACAACAGTTGTGATTTTATGAGAAGGCCAATCTCTCATTTCTCGCCTATTTAAGACAACAGGTGAGAATATGGCACGGACAGGTGCAAATTGTACAGGTGTGACGACGATCTACCTGGCGATTTATAATTTTGTTTACATTTTATTTCCTGTACTAAGCTCACGTTTTCTAAGTATGTATTTAGCTTTATTTATATAAATATGGAAGTTTGAACATTAATTAAATAGGTCATCAATTCAAACTTCCTTCTCACAAATTTAAACACGTGTACGTGTAAAACATGCAGCATCATTTTTTCCTGTTTGTGATGATAGTCCGATGGTCTGTATCCTGGTACCGCCAGATGTAAGACGTACAATGATACCTGAGTGTTGGGACCAGAGGAAACTCGGACCAGTCGGTTGTAAATGATGAAATAATTCATCTGTATCCCGTATGTCTTTATTTACGAAATGTATATATAAAGGTATAGACATGTACACCATATGCAGTGTTTATCCCGATCTTCTGTACTTAACACAATATGTACATTCATTTTTACATGTATTTATTATGCTCTGTTCATTATTATTTGTTTGGTTAAATCACTGCTACTTCACATTTATTTTAAATTTAATAATTTCACATCTATTATGTATATATGAAGATAAGTTTGTCTAAACATTCCATCTGTAGGAAAATAAATGTCACCTGTACCTGTTTGTATTTAAGTAGATAATCATTTCCTGACTTTCGAACTTATTGGTTATCTGTAGTGCTTACATCATTTTTTTGGGGTTTTTTTTTATCATTTTTTGTTTTTGTTTTGTCTTTTTGTAGAAAAAAAAATGAAGAGTTATATAAATTTCTTCATTTCACTATGAAAACCTTGAAACATTCCTAGCTGTTCTACATAATGACTTGAATGAATTCTGTATCATTTCAGTACAATGCCATGAGATGGAGTCATGTTTAGAAATTCTACTTGTCCTGTTGGTAGGGTCCGTCTCAATATGCCGAGGTAAGTAAATTTAATTGTCCTGATGGTATGGTCCGTCCCAATGTGCCGAGGTAAGTAAATTTAATCGTCCTGATGGTAGGGTCCGTCTCAATGTGCCGAGGTAAGTAAATTTAATTGTTCTGTTGGTAGGGTCTGTCTCAATGTGCCGAGGTAAGTAAATTTAATTGTCCTGTTGGTAGGGTCTGTCTCAATGTGCCGAGGTAAGTAAATTTAATTGTCCTGATGGTAGGGTCTGTCTCAATGTGCCGAGGTAAGTAAATTTAATTGTCCTGTTGGTAGGGTCTGTCTCGATGAGCCGAGGTAAGTAAATTCTTATTGTGATATTTTGCAGTCAGTTGTTATATATATGATACAGAAAAGTGATTTCAGAGAACGTGTTATAAACCTTTTGTAGTTATAATACTGGACATCCATACTTTATCAATGTGCCCTGGTCTCTTTCATTTAACTTTGCAATTATAATGTTGCAATCAAATTAACGTTATGCACGGAAAAGTGCATAAAGTTCTTAACATTTTATGGGAAAACATTTTTTAAATATCTTTTCACTTTCGAAGTTAACACCTGTTGTCAGATTTTCAGTTACTTCCTGATGTAATGTTCAGAGGTAATATTGATTATCTCCCTTTATAATGTTTTTAAAGTGTTTACAGTTAGATCCCTTTATAATATTCATAGTTATTCATTATGATTATCTCCCATTTTAATGCTCTGTGATATTTTTATGTCCCGTTATAATATTCTTAGGTATTTACTACAATTCTCTCCCTTTAAGATGTTTGCAGGTATTTCATGATTTTCTCCCTTTCCCAGGATGGCGAGTGGTCCTGAAAGTGGGAGCAGGTGAAAGCATCTCGCCAGCTACGAGTTTGTTTGATCTTTGGACATCTTCTGTCAATCTGAATGATGATGCTGCTGGCATCGCCCAAGTCCAGGAATCCTATTTCGTTCCAGATATGCCTTCTTACAAATCCAAGATTGTGAATGACTGGGCCAAAGCCAATGTACAGAATGTAATTAAATATGCTTATTATCATATTCATAAGAAGAGTGTTTTCCCCACATGTTTGATCTATATACAATAATGTAAATGAAAATCCACTTTTTCCAATAAGGTTGAAATATGGGACTTGAAAACTGTCAGTTCAACTTTGCAATGTTATATAGATTGATATGTTTAAGTACACATCGGTATAAGCATAAATATTCATATTTATATTTTGACATTGAACCCAAAATTTTGGCATTAATAAGCATTGATTTATACTTATTGACATACAAATTGATTTGATTATCAAATTTTATGATTATAAAGATGGCATTTTTATTAATTGATTTCAGGTGAAAGTTGGTTTGTATGATAGAGATGGACGCGAGGTTGTAGGTATTATATTCAATAGCAGTTGGTCTGATGACATGACTTCTTGGTTTTCTGAGGAGAACATCGTCCAGCAAGGTCAACACTTCACTGACCTTTCTCCTGCAGTCATCACTAACTGTAGTGCTGAAGGGTAAGTTATTAATCTACTGTAGTAGTCAAGGGAGGCAACTCTTTTCCTTAACACAGTAGGCAGGCTTATCATTGGATATAAAGCAAATTCTGCTTGTATCAGTGATTATACCATACTTGAGTAGATTATAGGCCTTTGCGAGCAACATGTATAAGGTGATGTATGTAAATATATGTTGTTAATTAATTTTTTTCCCAATAGTTTATTTCAATTCAGAATTGTCGTTAATTACGTTTCAAGGATAAGTATAGCTTATCTTTCTACATCTCGTCCTTTTTTCAAATTTTGATATCCCAAACTCACATAACTTGATCTCCTTTAATTTGAAGTATGATGATGGGTGGGGCCAAACTTCACATGAAACATGATAACTTTTCCCATGGTCCTGCTGACTTTTTGAATTCCTTGGCTGTATGCTAACACAAGTATCATTACCTAAATTTACATTTGTTTAGTTCATCCTGAAATGTCATTTAACTAATTCTGTTATTTTAAATATCAGCCAAGCTGATCAAGGTCATCGCTTCATGATCACATCAACATCATCACAAGTGTGTGACACCATGCGTGGATGGATGGTGGTAATAGATCAAGGACGTACAGGCCAGTGTCACTGGGACTACGGATACGAAACTCCATTTTTTCTGTATTCTCCAAACAAAACGAGCACAACTATGTTGAGTAAGTGTATCCATCGTTTTCATTGTTATCCCACTTAGATATTATATATACAACACAAACAGATTTCATGTTTTATATAAAGTACCTCAGAGGAAAAATCTGACACTTTCTTGTCATGAATTGCATTTTCCCTAGAATCTAACATGCTTTGATTTTCAATTTCTCTCTCCGCAGTTTGTTGTTCACAACATCTTTTTGTGTTACAGAAATGGTCACTGCAAGTGTTTTTGTCATTTTTGTGGGTAAGTAATTTGAAATGTTCATTTTTACGAAATGTAGAGTATCACAATTTTTTTTTTACCAATTGTGATTTTCGGTTGTGGCTCAATTGAGCTTCTCGATTCAGGCCTTAAGCACCACTGACAAATTCCAGGAAGGATGAAACAGATGTCTGATGCAGTTTTTACTAATTTCTTTGGGTATATGGATTCTTATAAAATGTCAGATAAATTGTGATGAAATATATCACTATTTATTAGGCTCAATTATAACTGCAAATTTTTAATCAATTTAATTAGAAATTCATACAGGTATCATACAGAACACTAAAGACATCTGCCCCTAATGACACGGCCCAAACAAAAAAAAATCTCATTCATATCTACTGGTATTTAGAAGAGGCGATCTAGGTATTTTCATGGTCGTATTTGTAATAATTCCTGAATTCATTGACTTTAAATCAGAAGTGTTAATCCGTATTAGCCTGTTAAGGTGAGTGATCTGAGAGAAATGAAACTATCTGATATCTACATCTCCTTTGTAGTTTTATTAGACATCAGATAAACCAACAAACATAATTATGTGTTGAAGCAGATCCCAGAACATTAATAACCAGTCTGATTCTCATTTAGGTTTATCTTGATATCATTGTATCAGGAGTTATGTTTGTCACCAGTTTATAAAACCTTGATAAAAATGTTTTCTTCAGATGACTGTGTGGAAAACCCGTGTAAGTTTAATGGGAAGTGTAACAATAACTTTGGTGTGACCAGTTGTGTCTGCACTGACCAGAACTATGGACCAACCTGTGAGAGTAAGTTTTTACTGACCGCTGGTCAAATGTAATGATATATTGACACTACTACACTTGAACCACTCTGAAGTTCCTATTGTCTTTCATACAAAGTATTTTAAAAGTGGACAGGTATAAAAAGCTGGCTATCTCTTCACTGGAATTCCATATCAAATTGTCCATTATAGACAGGTGTGTGTATATATACGTAATCCATAATAATTGTCCATTATAGACAGGTATCTATATAAGTAGGAAATTTGATCAAAATGAGAATGTCAACTATCAGTGTAAATTCCTTTTCCGTGCCTGTATAATTTTTCTAGGGAGTTGAATGACATAAGTTTATTTGTTCTTAAAAGCTATATGCCCCTGTCAGTATGGATCCTGTATAGGAGAACCTGACGGAAGTGGAAACGATCCTGGGCACTTTGAAATCGCTGGAGAGATACTGTCTTGTAACTGTACAGCTGGATACACTGGGATCCATTGTGATCAGGGTATGTACCTCATTTACAGGGGAAGATGGGTGGGGTGGGGGGGGGGGGTCCCTTGGGGTTCATTGTGATTAAGGTTGATAACTCCCCAGAAGGGAAGACTGGGGTCTGTTTTGATCTATCATATGCTATCATATTTGGCCAGTAAAAGTTTCACAAAGGTTTATATACAAATATGTAGACCCTTCCAATGACTTATTAAAGGAATATACACCGTATTTGGCTGGGAATTGTCTTGGCATAATTTGGAATAAATTATAGACATTTCACAGTGATGTCACACTGTTCCAAAAAATAGATTAGGCCAAGCCCCCTGGAGGTCTGAGAGACTTGAGCTAACTAATGTGAAAAACTACATGTTAGCCAATTACTTATGTTCTATTCACAGCATTAAAATACAGAAAACATGATCGGAAAGAGAATTGCAAGAGCTTCATTTCGATTTAAGATTCTTCATAATTAAAGCATAAATTAATAAGGAATTCTAAGTTGATCCTATTTGCTATGCAGTGTTTATAGGCCTACAGTAAACTGTTATCAATATATCTCCAGTAACCAGGGCTTAACTGACCATGGTGACATCACTAATGATATGCATGAAACATTTTATTATTGGTTTTGAGTTAGGATTATGGTTTATAATACCTTAATTTTTCCTGTCTTTATATTTAATTGTTGCTATTTACTGTTGACTTGTGCAAGTCTCAAATATGTTGTATCTGTGTTTTTAAACCATGATCTAAAGGGTAAGTAAGCTTCTGCTGTCCTGGGTCATCTGTCCAGCTATAACTAAGAGTTTTTCTGCTATATTGTTTGACCATCTTCTTTCCTTGATTTAAAAGAAAGCTATCAATTATATTTAACTGGAAACATCATAAGAAAGTCTCAATTCAACATTGCACAGATGAGGGGGCTGACTACTAAGGGACAAAACCCTTAATTTGTCATATTGCTTTAAGCATCTACTGTGGAACATATGCACAGATATTGTACTGTTGGTCATAAAGATCCAGGTGAGCGATACAGGCCCTCTGAGCCTCTTGTCTTTAACTGCATTGTAAATTTAAATTTGTAAATTATTTGATTCTGTTTGTTAAACCATTTCTTAACAGATATCGATGACTGTTTGGGAGGTCCTTGTTTAAATGGAGGTGAATGCATAGATGGTGTCCAATCATACACTTGTGATTGTCCAGTTGGTTACCATGGCAATTTGTGTGAATGTAAGTTTCCCTTGCTAATTACCCTCTGTCTTTCCAAATTTTCTTGAATTCTAAAACTTCAATAAATTTTCCATCATATCAAAAAGACAGACTTGCATGAACAGATATTTCAGTTTCAGATTTACACATTGGTTTTGCTTTGAGTTATTAAGTTGAATATTGAGTAAATTGATGTAAACATGCTATACTTTATTTTATGTCCACAGTGACTAGGGACAAGGAAATTAATTCTCAAAGTATCACTGGTGCCATCATTGCTGTGGCTGTTATTGTCCCCCTTGTCGTCATTGTCATCATCCTTGTTGTTATTTATGGAATCTACATCAAGCGTAACCCTGATGGCTACGGCCGTGCCACCATCTACAAACATTCAGGTGACCTTTCTTTGATCAGTTGGATTTAAAACAGATATTAAGAGTCTAATCTTTAGCACTGCTGTTTTTGTATGAAACATTTGTATAGTGTAACCTCACCATATTGTTTTTTTTAATTTATTTTCTCATACTGGTCAGTATCAATCACACCTTATGTATGTATAGAGAAAAATGGTTAGAAATTTATCATATGACTTTTTCAGAATTAGAACTGATGATTATTGAGTGATTTTGAAATATAGTTTCAATAATTTCAATGAATCCTGAAATAACTGCTTAGGTGTATTTCTAAGCTACAATATTGATAGTAAAAACATGTAGCTATGAGAAACAGAAGGACTTTGATGTTTGGTCTGGTGTTGTGGTGTTTTTCTGTGGATTTCTCAAGTCATTGCTCAAGTCATTTGTCTGTTTTATAAAACGAAAAATCAGAGACAAAAGCACCTGCTCAAAATTATCTTTTTTGGTGGCTATTTGCTTGTTTTTAAAAAGTTTTTATTGTAACAATAACAGATAATAGTAAATTTACTTTTACCAATGAGAGATCGATATTTTCTGTCTTCCATCTGTCGGAGATTTGGTTTGACCAATGAGAGATCAATATTTTCTGTCTTCCATCTTTCGGAGATTTGGTTTGACCAATGAGAGAACGATATTTTTGTCTTCTAGCTGTCTGAGATTTGGTTTGACCAATGAGATTTGGTTTGACCAATGAGAGATCAATATTTTCTGTCTTCCATCTTTCGGAGATTTGGTTTGACCAATGAGAGACCTATATTTTCTATCTTTAGTTGTCGGAGATTTGGTTTGACCAATGAGAGACCTATATTTTCTATCTTTAGTTGTCTGAGATTTGGTTTGACCAATGAGAGACCTATATTTTCTATCTTTAGTTGTCGGAGATTTGGTTTGACCAATGAGAGACCTATATTTTCTATCTTACGTTGTCTGAGATTTGGTTTGACCAATGAGAGACCTATATTTTCTATCTTTAGTAGTCTGAGATTTGGTTTGACCAATGAGAGACCTATATTTTCTATCTTTAGTAGTCTGAGATTTGGTTTGACCAATGAGAGACCTATATTTTTGTCTTATAGCTGTTTGAGATTTGTTTTGACCAATGAGAGAAAGATATTTTCTGTCTTAGTAGTCTGAGATTTGGTTTGACCAATAAGAGGCCTATATTTTCTATCTTTAGTTGTCTGAGATATTTTCTGTCTTCTATCTGTCTGAGATTTGGCTGGATGATGTAATTTACGAAGGGTTGTAAAAAGCTGATAACAGCATCAGAAGATTGTAACGAATCCATGACTAGAATCTTGGATGAAATCTTGAGAGATGGGCATTGCTAACTGTCAGTAGGAAATATTTGTGTGGAATTTTTATGTGATAATATTCCATGTTTGCAATCATTAGAATAAGTATAGAATAGAAAATTGTTGAAATTGTTACATCATGTTAAGAAAATATACTTTTCTCTTTTTTTCAGCCATAGCCAGAGACTTTGTCCGACGTAGTTTTCGCAGGATATCAGGTCGTAGAACACGTCAGAACAAGGATTCAGCTTCCAAGGACACAGACAAAGATAACAAAAAAATCATTTCCTCTGAACATATCTCATTTGAATATGATAATTCTGGATTCAGAGACGGTGATATAGATGATGGGTTTGGTGATGGGGATAGTTCAAAACGAGGTTACAGTAGACAGGATTCAGAACACATTGACCTGACTCCTGAAGATCAGTCGGTTATTTCGGGAGAATCTGTCAGAACTAAAACCCCTCCAAACATTGTTGGATATATAAAGTACCTAGACCCCCGTATCACTGGTAGATCTCACAGTACGAGTCCCAGACTAGATACAGAACACCCATATACAGAGAGTAGTCAGGATTCCAATACAAGTGGCTCCCTCTATCAGGAAATGAACCCAGGTCTTACACCTGACTATGGACCCGCTTATCAACCAGATAATCCTACCCACAATGATGGTAATTCTATTCAACTAAAGCCAAATGGTGCACAGCGTTCAGAGCCCAAACAATCCAAGACAGCACCACGCAGTAATCATCAAAATGATAAACCTCCATCTTATGATCGCTATATTGAAGATATCCAACAAAGATCTGATGATAAATATAGACCAAATGTTCAAACTAGTGATCGAAGCAAACCTGACATTATACCAAAGACACCCAGTAACTCTGATCCACGCTCTAAAGACCGTTACAATCCAGACAGACAGCCAGTTGTAAGGTACACACCACAGTCTCGATCTGACGATCGCTACAATACGGACACCCATTCACGGCCAGATGATAGGTATAACACAGACATTCAGCCTCACACCAATCCTGAAATACAGCCTCGATCTGATGATAGGTATAATAACCGACGTCCAGTAAAGTTAGACTTTAACGCTGATGGCAGGAACAGACATCCAGAGAGACGTACACCGACAAGAGAGGATCACCCACAACCAGGGTATTCTCAGCGGAATCCGACCTCTCCTGGGTATTCCCCAGGAAATCCGACCTCTCCTGGGTATTCTCAGCGGAATCCAACCTCTCCTGGGTATTCTCAAAGGAATCCCTCCTCCCCTGGGTATTCCCTTGGAAATCCCATCCCGGGGTATGACCGATCTTTTGCCCAGCAGACAAGGTCACCTTCACAAGGATCTCCACCTCGGGACAAGGTGATGCTGGAGGGTGAAGAACCAGTCCGTGAAATCAACATTTAGTACAGAATAAAATTCCTGCCAGAAGGTTATTTATCAACTATCAGGTCTCAAGTGGGAGCTACTCAAACTCTGACGTCATTATTGCTCATTTCAAAATATTGGCAGAAATGGTCGTGATTCTATCAATCTTTCCATACTATAAATATCTACCTGATAACAATAATTCTTTTATAAACACAGATTGGACAGATTTTTGGAGTAGAGTTATTCAGCTGCTTTACATCCATGGATCAGATTAGGCAGGTGTACAAAGATTTCTGTTAGATATGCTACAGGATTTTGTATTACTGTTTGATACTGTCTAAAAGTAATCATGGTTCTTCTTTATTTTTCAAAGTACTTTCCTGAAACATTTATGGTTTGATCAATGAATTCCATATAAAGAACAAAGCATTTCAGTTTCTAGATCAGAATTTGAAACACATATGAATACAGGACTGGGTGAATTTACTGGGGCTATACTCCTACAAGATCGGGAGGTGTTTCCATGGTTACTACCCTTCATTTACCCTAGAATGACCTTAGGGCAGGGGAGGCAGTTTACTTGGGTACTATTCCAGAATGACCTTGAGGAAGAAAGTTGCTTACTCCCCTGAAAGACCATGGAGATGGGAGGAGTGAAGTCCCTTGGCTACAACCTCTGGATGACCTTGACAATTGATCTTGTTTGGTATGATGACATATTTATAGAGAAAGTGGTTGCCAGAATTTGTTTGTCCAAATCTGATCAAATATTGAAAAGATAACAATGTAATTCAGACGAGGGAAAAGACGTAATCAAAATGTTAGGATAACACTGATAATTTTGAGATTCATAAAGAACCAATCTAGCACAATGATGAACTAGGAAGTCATGAATTGTAGGATATTAACCGGTGTTTGTATCATTATTGTATGTATCAGAGATATCTATCCGTCCAGGAAGATGATTATAGGTAAGGTAGATACATGTATAACATTTTTGATGAAGATGCAGTTATTGTCAGAATTTGTGTGATGCGGCTTCAGCAGGTAACACTATCCATATTAATGTAGTTAATTAGGTGCTATCTAATTTTAGTGTGTTACTTCCACTGTGGAAAGCTCTAAAATAAGATTACTACTAAAATAAGTATTTTTACAGTAAATTATAGAATTTCTCTACAGTTTTTCTGTCTACTGGCATGGCGACAAGTCGTGTTCCACGGGGGAATCACTATTGGCTGTGAACTTGTAATAAGTTGGTATAAAGAGAACATTTGGAGTTTGAGATTCAACACAAAGTGCTGTGGGCTGTATGTATGTAAGGATTGGTCTGTATTTATAATATACAGCTTTAATTACTGCTTATTTGTAAACTAGTTTATGTTAAAGTGACTGAGTAGTCCCTAATTTTGTAGATTTTTTACTTACAATATTTTCATTTGATTGTCAGTTATATGATGTTGTTTTTCATATGATATCAAAATAATGTTAATCACAAACTGCAAAAAGGTTATGTTACTCATACAAGAGGACAGATTACCGGCCTACCGGGTATTTAAAATAGCACTGTTTAGAACAAACCAGTGTGAAATACAGTATGTGTTATAGTGTTTCTGGAGGAGGGGGCTAGTGTATAACATTGCAACAGCCCCTCCTCCACAAACATTGTTACATGCCCTTATGATAAAGAAATATCATGCTTGTTAAAACAATCATACTGGGAACACTTAACAATGTTTTCTTCAGAAATGACTTTGTTTTGAAGATTTCCTGTTCTGCTCGAGTTGATCCTTAATATTTATCGGTAGTTTTTTACTTTGTACTTCATTGTCTTTATCTTCCTTTCATCAGGAAATTTCATTGTACACAAGTACTTTCTTTGAGAATTTATTAAGGTATTTTTAAAGTTTTTTCCATAGCATGTTATTCATAGAGATAAAAATATTTGGTGTATACATGTTGGAAGTATTTATTCAAAGACTGATGCCTTTACTCAAGGGACAGAATTTTGTTACAAAGATTGTTGTAAAAGTCTGTGTATACAAATTAGTAGCATAGAAAGTATAGAGAATTTGTTTATTCCTATTCTCAGAGCGTTTTTGATCCGCATAAACAAGTGCTTTATTGTAATCTGGAATGCATTTATCATACACAAGAAATATTTAATAGGACATTTTCTTGCCAGTTGTGTTTTTATATTTAAGGAAATTGTTGGATGAATATGCATCGGTTTTTGAAACCAAATATCAAGATATTATACTTATCATACCTATTTGTAAATTTTGATATACGAAAAGATTTTTGTAAGGAAATTTCAAGGTTATTTTTGAAAATTTACTTGATAACCTCCCTTTATTTACTTTTTGGGTTTCATTGATCATTGACTGTTTGAACCGATCAAAGTTGACCTGTGTGAGGTTATTTATAGTCAGAGAAAGATGTGATCAAATGTTGATATGGATGTTAATTGATCAAATTGATTACAATGTATATAGTTTGCCTCAGATCAAAATTTGTCCAATCAGAACCATCGAATAATATTTAATTGAAAATTGGATAGATACTGTTTCTCTGATACATAATTTGTGAAATTTTAAACATACGAAACCTTTGTTACATACGAAGAACCGAATATCATTGTTAATGGGACCCGATTGGTATAGTGTGGTGTCATGTGACCTATATTGTTTTAAAATTGTTAAGTCATATTGTTGATTTTAGGAATTAGCAACGAAGAATAAATCTCATAACATTCCGTCATTTGCCGGAGGTTTTTATCACCAACATTTTATATCAGTGTGAATGAATGTTTGAGAGCTTTTTTTATTAATGCAAGACTATGCAGAAATCAAAGGATTGTGATATATCCAAATGGAATATTACCTGGCATATTTTATCATATCCCATATAATATGGTTTCTTTAAACGAAATTTACAATCTGTTTTTACATCTATCAATCACAAACCAGATAAAACAATTTAAATGCAAATTTCTCCTACAAGTAAGAAAGTTGAGAAGAAGAATCTATACACAATATAAATAAGTTGTATTTTTATATTTAGTGTTAATTGGTAGGCTTGTAATAGATTCATATTTATTTCAAATTAAAGTACTTCGTTTATTTACTTGGCGATCAGCATGATATAAAAAAGAGTTTGAGAATTGTAAAATCATAATATTTTCAAAATGAAAATCTTGAAGAAACTTATCTGAAGTAGACTTTGTTCTGTTGTTGCTATGTCATAATGCTGTTTGTTTACTATTTTCGTTTAGGTTTGGTAAACAAGTTTGTTATCCAGCACAAACATTTCCAAGTTTGAAAATTCAGACGTTCGCGGCAGAATGCAACCGATTTGACCGAGGACAAACGTAATGAACTGGTCATGGTGCCATCATTGATACATGAACGTGACGCCATTAATGGCTCAATATCATTGCGCCATTAAATTAATGATTCATTATTATTGCGCCATCAATGATTTATTATCATTGCGCCATTAAATTAATGATTCATAATCATTGCGCCATTTAATTAATGATTCATTATCATTGCGCCATTAATGATTCATTGTAATTGCGCCATTAAATTAATGGTTCGTTATCATTGCGTCCTTAGATTAATGGTTCATTATCATTGCGCCATTAAATTAATGATTCATTATCATTGCGCCATTAAATTAATGGTTCGTGATCATTGCGTAATCAGATTAATGATTCATTATCATTGCGCCATTAATGATTCATTATCATTGCGCCATTAAATTAATGGTTCGTGATCATTGCGTAATCAGATTAATGGTTCATTATCATTGCGCCATTAGATTAATGATTCATTATCATTGCGCCATTAGATTAATGATTCATTATCATTGCGCCATTAATGTTTCATTGTTATTGCGACATTAAATTAATGGTTCGTTATCATTGCGCCATTAGATTAATGGTTCTATAATTGATTAATTATTACGGCGCCGTAAATGATTATTTAATATGGCGCCAATTAAGGATTAATGAACAAGGCACCATTAACTATTTATTAATAGGTGCCACAGAATGTTAAACTTATAATAATTGAGGTATTTGAGATTTAAGGAATATAAAAAAATTATCATCACGTACATATTTGTTTTTCTTATCACTCATTCTGAATAATGAAATTCTCTGGCTAATGTCTTGTGTACGATCCTTAACTCTGAAAATAGGATATATTACTTTTTATATATATTATTTATGTATACAAGGTACTGAAACAAGACATTTATTGCCAACGTTTAAAAAATTAAAGATGAGACTATACTGTTGTATCAGATTTGAAGTGTTAACGTTTTCCTTCATTCGGCTGATATGCTGCGAATTATACAGGATACATGGGTTACGTCCCCTTATCGTTTATCGAGTTGTAAGCACGTGCACGCATAGATAGGATGGACCCATTCATGGACGAGTGATTTTATCAGACTTGGTCAGTATCATTAGCAGCGTAAGCAGGTACTCCGAGACCCCTATAGTCATAGTTGAATAGGTATCTGTTGTAGCCTACATAGAGGCAACACGTCATATCATGTCGGAGCTATTCAGAATTTGAATCAGTGATAGCATAAATATCCATATTTAAAATCACAAACAAAGTAACCACCTTCACTGATCTGATACAAATCAGAGTGTTACAATTCAGATCAATAATATATATTGAATTTGAAAAAAAAATATTTTATTATTTTTTATATCAGTGCATTAATCAGTTATTTCGATAGACGTACCAGTAAAACCCAAACTGAGAACCCTGTGGTTTACCTGGAACTACACTCAATGACGATGAGCCAAGTGGTGCATGGGCCGGGGCGGCGTACACAAACGTCTAAAATGTGAGCTTTGGTTAACTGAAAAATATTGTGAGAAAATAAGTACTCTGCGTTCATGGGAGGGAATATAGAATATAAATAGTCATGGTATATAATGAATTGTCATTTTAATAGAAGATTTTCCTTTAGACACTCAGGATCTCCCTACATATAAATATATAAGTACAAATGTGTGAGCTCTTGACTGTATCCTCATTAAAGAGGGATATGAAATAAAGTTCGAATTGGAAGATGTTCTGTATAACATTGCATGGTACAGCAATGCTCATTACGGGCTTTCCGAGGGATATTTTCGTCCAGTAGTTATTGACACGGAACTGATTTACAAATTAGTGATTTTTCGGGAGTGAAATATCACAACTGTTCAGCATATATTCAAAAATCACTTTTGATTCCGTCTTTTTCCACCACACGTTATTTGCATTGTAAAATAGTTCGACATTCACGACGTTGATATATCGCAAATACTATAGATGTAAAATAACGCCGTTTGGTAAAATGTAATGAATTTTTATCACCAGTCTGACGTACTTGAATGTCGACCTTATATCATAATCCTATGTGATTCTTCATAATTACCTCCTCTTTCTTAGAAGTGGGTGGGGGTCATTTTACATCCATAAATAAGGCCAGCAGTATTATTGATATGTAAAAGATACATACTATTCCGGAACTGCTGGTCTTATCGTCATATTCCTCGGTGATGTAAGTGGCAGTTGTTAGTAAATCACAAAAATGCCCTTCTTTTTCAGTACAAGTTTAAATACCCTACGAAACAAGTATTTTAGTGGCATTTTTAGAGACGTGTCAATATCATTATCATCCAAACTCAGATTCAATAAGAGTGGGGCAAAATATGAATAACAGAGACTTCTGAAAAAAGT